TGCAAATGAGATAAAATCTAGGCTGTGTTGAGTAATTAGCAACACAGTTTGGGAGCCACTGCGAGTGACGCACACGGGCGTAATAAACCCTGGGATGTGTGCAGCCATGAATAAGGATTAAGCGGCTTTTTTTTGTTTGCTCGAATGGTTGTACGATCTCGCTCTGTTTTTCATAAATATCAAATGGATGGCGGAACACATGGCGTATGTGTAATAATCATGGCATATGCATTTTTAATGGTTCGATGTGAAATCGAAAGGTAAACAAAGCGAAAGGGAAAGGCGGCGGAACTGCACCGCGAAAAAGAGCAAATCAAAAGCAAACAAAGTCTGTTAGTGAAAAAGGACGTACTTGAACATGGCCTTCAACACTCACCCACACACACATCCACCCAGCACTACCACTCACACGCTCGCACGCACACTGATGCACACATTGTCTGGCTGCAGGACAAGCAGGGAGGCAGAATAACTCTGTTGAAGGACGCATTCAGCTTGCAGGCAAATGGAGCCAGCGGATGTCGGATGTGGATCCCCGTGTCATGTCCTGGCACAGAGAAAATATACCCTCAAAATTAACCCAATTTCTCTGACTGAAATAGCTCCTGCCCTTAGCATATTATATTTAAGGGGTGTAAAAATATCCTTTTGTCTTATTATTTAAATACATTTTAAGCGATGCATGTATATTTATGTAATGCAAATTTTTGGTAATTAAGCCACAGGCTTTTTAAGGTATACCACTTCGAAATCGGACTTTAGTTAAAAAAGATTTGGACTTAAAATTTCAGGTTCTAAAAAGCGGTTTCCATTTCATAAAAATTTAAAAAAATATATTTTCTTAAATGTCACGAAACCAAAATTCCCAACCAAGGATTTAATGAAGAGTTTTTGGGAATTAAACTCCAAGCTGCACGAATCAAAGGAAGTGATTTTCTTCTTTCCGGTGGGAACATGCATACGTATTTCTCGATTAATGACACAATGAAGCCTTAGGGAAATTTCGAGAACCTGCCCAGGTATATCCTGCATCCTTTTGAATGAAGAAACTTTCATACACACATGCATTCGTTTAATTGCCTATTAAATATTTTATGCTGGCTGCTTTGATTTTATCCTCAAACTAGTATAGGTTGAGGTTTTTCAACTTTGAACCCGCTTGTGGGGGCGTGGCAGATGTTGAGGCGAGCTGGTAATAAAACTTTCCCAGAGCAAACGTGCCATAAAAGTTAATTTAAAACTAAACTGTGACAATTCCAGGGCGGTAATCGAGGTCACACGATGACAGCGCCTTGACTTTATTGAGCGAACAATGTAAACAAATTGGGAATATTCTTATTTGTTTTGTTTAGCTTTCGTGTAGCATCGCTGGCGATTGCAAGAAAATTGCGTCACATGGCCTTTGATTTATGGAGCGGCGGCTCCAGTCGAGCAAAACGAGGAAAACCAGGGAGACCTGGACCACTGAAGGTAAATTAGATGAGTAGCAGGTCAGGCAGACATTCAGACACCGGGCAAAATATTTTACAAAACTTGCAATTTAACTGAGTAATTTATTTTGATGTCCGTCATTATTTTTTTATTGAATCATCACCAATTTTTTGTATATATTTAAAGACATTTTTGCCTTTCAATATGTTTTTTTATTTATTTATTTCAATACAGATTTTTATCTGTGTATCGGAAGCAACATTGATTGCAGACAAATGTCTTTGATACATTGAAGCAAACATTAAATGAGGTCTGAATTGAATTAGAGCTAAGGGGTGATTCAAGGTTCTACAGATGGCAATTCAATCAGAAACACTCAATTTAAACTTCCTTTAACTTAGTTGATTTTTATGCTGTGCCTTTAAGATTTTCAGAAAACACTCTAATCATTCGTGTGGAACGCAACCGAACACGTTTCAGCCATTTGCTGTTTAGGTAAATTTTCTTTACAAAGCCAAATGTTTGGGACCTTCCGGATACACTAAAGCGTATTTTCGCCAGTCATGTCAAACTCTTCTCTTGACTACGTTTGGTTAGCCAAAAAGAAAATTTACCCAAGTTGTTATATGCAGATGATGTTAACGTTAAGCGGCCTCGGGGATACATATAAAATAACCAACATGGGAACCAGGCCGTACTGTACTGCAAATGAAAGTTTCGCCAACCAAGTTTCGTCCATTAAATTATCCTCCATTCAAGGCATGTACCACACCATGTGTTTTCCCCGTAATCCGACTCCATTATTGGGCTTTAATATCAGTTGAAGCCAACGCTGACACCAACAGTACTGACCACAACTGGGCATCAAAGTACTATTGGAATGTTTTGCCTTATGAATTAAACACAAGTTTGTTTCTATTTTTTGTTGTCCTGAAATGCCGACAGCCTTAATACCAAAGTGAAGAAACACGCACGGAAATCGTTGATTGCGGCAATAAAAAAAAAACAAAGGAAGCCAAAAAAGGGAGCCGATTATTAATGAGGCTTAGTAGGGTCAAAGGATACAATGTCAAGGATTCTTTCAGGAAAAACTTGATGTGGGAAAATTTCTTTCGAAAATACTACTTCCGCTTAAGGATTTGTTATTCATGGCTCATAAAATCTTGTATTGTGGACGTTTTCTAGTCGCCTTTTTTATTGTTCAATATATTTAAATCTATACTTTAATGTTAATTTAACTAAAAATCTGAATTGTAAAACTGTTAGTTCTTAAATGAATGAATTATTTAAGTCCACATGAATAAAATCGGAAAGAGGACGCTATCTTTCTAATTTGAACTTCTCTTAAGCATGCGGGTAGGAAAACACTATCGCACGTTTGGCTTTAACATGCAGTGTTAATCCATCTACTAATTAAAATATTTGTTTAATTATACGGGCAGGAGAATATGGAGGTAAATTCAGCTAAAACACGACAGTCCCGTGCCCCAGAGTATATAAAACGTTCCACTTTGCGGGGGCAACTTAACCTAAACGCAAATCCTAAACTTTTTCTGTCGCCTGACTCGTCACCAGCTGCAAGGATCTCTTTGTGAGTATGTGTATGTGTGTGAGGGGCTAACCACAACCACAGGACTCAGAGACGCCTTAATGTGTCCACATTTTAATTACCCTTGATGTCGAGTGCGAAAGGCTGCCACCGAAAAATAAAGGATAAACAAGAACAACAACAACGGAGGCGAGAAAAAAGTTGAAGGCTTCATGGAAACGCGCAGGCTTTCATAAATATTTGAAATGCCCACCAAGTCAGTTTTGCCAGCCCCTACTTGACAGCTCTTTCTGTCACTTGACACTGCGTTTTATACTTTTTTGAAAACTTTGCCGGGGACAACGCTGCGTATGTGTAATTTACATGCTTCAAGTTGAATGAAACCGATGGGAGAGTCTCTGGAGTCGCGATAAGAGCCAAACCTTTTCGCAGGTGGACTTCGGAAAGTCGCCACTTAGGACTTTTGCATTTTTAATGCCACACACAAAAAAATAATGATGAATTCTTTGTTTGAAACTATTTTTCACATATTTTGTTATTGTTTTCGAAATTTGTATTTTATTTTGGACAAAACCAATTGCAAATTTCCTTTTTACCGTTCAACTTTTACCTGGAGCCTTTGCCCAGTTTGAGAGTCACTTGCCTTTTTCTGTGAACGATGTCAATGGGTTACCAAAAATAAAATTCAATTGTTCGGCCTCTTTGTATTTCCGTTTGCTTTCCTTTATAGCGTTTTTTCTTGGCCCGGCACTCAAGTCGCTGTATTGATTCGGAAAAGTCGCGCGCGAATTTCCTTCGCAGCACCTAGGAAAAACCTGCGATTGGCTTTTCACATTATCCGTGTGAAGTGTCCCGTTGTACGCGAGTCGCACAACTGAAAGTATGGTAACTGAAAGCGAAATTCTATTGCCTTCGCAGTATCACTCATACGCAGTGGTTGACCTACATCCTGTAACACACTTTTCGAGAGCCATATTGAGTGCAAGAGCGAGCTTTTGGAGCGAGAATAGTAGACAGGCTTTTGTTTACGTTCTCAGCTATTTTTGGCGCCAAAATAGAACAACTGTTGCCGTGTGTGTTTACACAAAATGACAGGAGGCGGTGGTGTTGGTTGTGTGTCCTTAATGCGTATGTACATGTGAGTGTTGTGCAGTTGAAAATACAAATTGTGTGATTATAATACAACAACATTTGGTGGTTCTTGATTTTATTTTGATGAATAACCATAACTTAATAAAAATAATTATAATTATTATAAACATATAATAAACACATTTTAATTTATTGACGAAGTTACATTTCTCTCGTTTACACATAACATGTAAAAAGCTTGTATTTGTTTCTTACTTGTTTGAAGCTTTGGCTATCTTCCCCTTCTTTTCCACCAGTTTTTTTCCCCTCCTTTGGAAGCGTGTGTTAAAATTTACTTTTGCTGATGTTAAAACTGCGAACAAAGCAAATTTGGTATGTTTGCAAATTAATAAAAGGGATGCCATTAGCTAAAAAGGATTTTATAGGTCATTCAAATAATTAACAAAACCGTTTTTGTTAATATAAATAAAATACTGTAAATAAAAAATATGTTGTTGTATCTCATCTGAGCCAGGTTGCTTAAAATGATTTAAATAAATATTAATTTAATACAATTATTTATCGTTATGCGATTTTGTATTTAATGACCTTCAAATTTTCCTTATTTTGTATTCAGTTGAGAACATTTTAAATGAGTGATAGCATATATATACATGCATACATATATATAAATTTTACAATAAACACAAGGAAACTTTGCAGCTTGCTAACAACTGGAGTCCAAATGATGTAAACAATAATACATTTTTGGTTATCAGTCTACTTTAATCATCCGCCCTATTCTTGTAGTATAGTGTAGGAGAGAGACTTTCTCTCTCTCTCTCGCTACTCTCCCACTTAGCCGCCTCTCTTTCTTAACCGCGGCATCCGAAACTCACGCATTACTTAGGCGCTCACTCTTCAAATTTTCTCATTCGCTCTTGGACTTTTGAAGGAAGCAGTCGTGTGTTGCGCATACGGTCCGTTGGTCCATTTGTCCGTTGGTGTGTGTGTGTGCGTGTGCACGTGCTGCTCGTCGCGACAATTTCGACTGGTACAATAATAGACAACAGTAGTGGGAATTAATTAATGCTCCGGTAGTGACTGTAAGTGCCAATCAACTGATTAATTTCTTCGGTGAATTGAAAATTTTGAGCCTACTACATTCGCGTACTAAGTGCCGTAGCGAACAATTATATATGCATGCATGGGTGTGATTCTGTGTGTGTGTGCGCACAGGGGCCTTTGTTTTCGGTGGTCGTGGTGCTCAATATGCTGTTATGTCGGCATCTTCTGCAATTCTCCCTTTACTTTTACGTCATTACCGTTATTAAATTTAGTTTCTGCCATTCTATTATGCCGGTGTGGAATATTTTGCATATGTAAAGCTGCACTGGAATGACGATTTTTCACCAAGCAGCCGCATTTTAATCACCTTTGCGACCCCAATCGACCAGCAACCACTTGTTTGCCCGCTTCTCGATGGAAGCCTGTGTGTGTGTACAGTGAAATTTCAATTGCTCGAACAAAAATTAACAAGTCAAGCAAGTTCTAGCACTTGTTTTAAAACAAATATCCCTTTCTTTTATGGGCTTTAATAAGATTGTTTAAAAAAAGGAAAGAAATTTAATTAAGACTAAAATAATTGATCAATAAAATTTTAAATATATTTTTGCCTATTACCTTTTTGTCAAACTTCTAAACAATTTATAGAGAAATTGATCAGTATAGCTTATCTTTTTTCAATAAACAAGTTAACATATGTTGGATATGTTTTTACAATTAAAAGAACAACAATTCTGATACGTCTGTGAAATAAAATTTCTAGTTTCCTATAACTTTTCTAAAAATGGTAAGTTGGAATTTCCTGTTTCGAAGTTTTACTGTAAATGATAGCGAAACCGGGAAAAATAAATTAATCACTATTTTACAATCCGTTTCTACACTTGTATTGACCAAAGTTATCTTTGTGCTAATGTGGGTCTGCCATTGTTTATTTAGCGGTTTTTTATAAATTATGATTTCGTTTGAAAAATGTATGAAACATTAAACGTCGAATTAGGTGTCACAGTTGTTGCTTAAAAACCAGTTTAAACAATTGAAACAACATTAAAAATGTCTGGCTAGCTGAAATAATTACAATAAATAATTTGAAGCCTAACATATAAATAACAACGTGTGTAGATAAAGGGTGACCCATATTCGGCCGATAAAAAGACTTGCTAACGCATATAGTGTTTATCAGTTCAAAATGTTGTAAATAATTTTAATTGCTTTAATTGAAACGCGGAGATACAAAGAAGAACCCACCCGTTTTAATTTACTTACTTAAATTCATTGGCGTCGTCACATTTAATTGCCTACGCCCAGACAGTTGTAATCTATTAATTCGAAAGTGGGTGAGGCGTTTAAGGGCGTTGGAAATTTACTTTGTAAGTGCTTTCGATTTAACTTTACATTGGGCAACTATGGAACATGAACATATCCCAGTCAATCACTTTATTTCATGTTCGTAGGAAAAGTTTTAACTTGAAATGTGAAATTTCCGTTGCGAATAAGTGGGTCAGAATACATATTTACGCCTGGCGCACAACCTCAGAATAAAAACCGGCTCATTTATAATAAGAAAATACGTGTCTAGATGCCGGTTTCGCTTATCTAAGAAGGTCTCTGGACTTTTGCTTACCAATTAATAAACATTATGATTATTGTCATACGAAGATGTGCAAATGGCGTGTGCAGCACCAAATGCGTTTTGATTTACTGTCGTACGCTATCAGTTACAGACAAAGCAAATAGCCTGGCATTAAGCTAATGACCGATATCGTGCGAATGACCCTCGTCTAGTCTATGCTGAACAAAGTTCGATCCATTTTTTTTGATGCTCATAATAAAAACATAACAAATAAATAAATGTTATATACATACATATGTAGAAAAGTGTAAAAGTGAAACCCAACAATATTTAAGGGCTATAATTCATAAAAAGAGATATGAATAAAGATAGATATTATTTTTATTATTAGTTTTACTGCTTCATTTCTTGTTTAGAAGATTAAATCATGGTAATAAATAATTATTTTATTATCTGAATGTATACATTTTGCTTTTCCTTTTCACTTTTTATGGCGTAATTTATTTCTTTTAAACCTCGGTTCTAGCCCCACGTATTCCTTATCAGTCACGAAAAGAATCTAGTTTACAGTCGATCATGAATACCATACTTTTTTATTGTAAAAATAAAATAGACTACACTGTTGGTCAAGGTCTCAGCTGATAAGAAAAAGGCGTTTTCTAGACTATACACAATGATGCATAGAAAAACATTCAATTTACCTTATCATTAAGAGAATAGAATGCGTACACAGTAGACATTGGAAATAGTTATGTTTATTTTATTATTTAATTTATTAATTTAATATTGATTAAATAATTTTAATGTAATCATATTAATTCTTTCGGATATGTTCAGAATTATTGCGCTGTCTTATAACCAGTGTTTATTGTAAAAACCCAGACGCTATCATGCTCTCTTATCGTTGAGACCATTAAATTGGAAAGCTGTAATGTTTAATCGGTTTTAGTTTGTTTTGCGATCGCAGGTAAACGGAGACTCAGTTATAAAAGGGAGCTACCCAGCCATATGATAGCATGGATAGTAGTGCCAAGCCAAAGCGCAAAAACCCGCGCCAGAATGCAAATATAATATCACAACTGATATTTGCCTGGGCCATACCATTACTGTATCGAGGATCCCGCAGCGGCTTGAACACAGATGACCTGACAGTATGCCTCAAGGATGACCGCTCCGAACAGTTGGGCGATCGTTTAGAGGAGTAAGTACTATTTACTGATAGAAATAACTATGCAATTGAGATTAACATGTAGATGGAGTTTTTGGGGCTTGAATTTCTCATTTAAGAATATTTTATTTATTCGACTGTTGTTTTCAGCCAGTGGTTTAAGGAACTAGAACGATCCCATCGCAAGAAACAGAAGCCTCACCTCAGAAACGCTTTATTCCGTTGCTTTCTGGGACCGACGATCATTAATGGCCTCATTTGCTTAATCTACATAGTGATCAAGTGAGTATGAAATGTAATACTACCCAGCTTATCTGTCTATACTATTCTGTTCCTAGGACCTTGATTCCAGCTGTTCTTGCGCAGTTGTTGATACAGTTCCAAAAAGCTCCTGTTGTGGAAGTGAGAAATGTCGCAGTTAAAGATTTGTCAATATCGGATTCCCTGAATCGAACTGCACGCTCAATTGGAAACTATGTGCTGAGTCAGGCTGTTGCCCACTCCAGTGGATCACCAGGAGATGGTAAGTCCAGATATCTTAAGTTCTTGGTAATATTTGCGACTTAGAAGTTTCGTTCAACTAAGTACGATATTTAATTTAGATTATTCCCCTAATTCCCTGGACAAGGGGGATCCCCTGAAGGAACCAATTCAACCTGTAACCGCCGAAGCGGACCACAATGCCACTATGGTGCGTAATGTCTTGGATCAAACTGCCGAGTACGTGTGGAACGACGCCTACAGCCTGGGCACTGTCCTGGTGACCGCGACGCTCCTTGGCTGTTTTTTATTGCACCACGTCGATCTCCGCCAGCGCTTAATGGGCGCCCGGATGCGAATTGCATGCTGCTCGCTGATCTACCGGAAAACACTACGCCTCTCCATGAAAACAGCGGGCCAGACGCCAGCTGGTTACCTAATCAACCTGCTCTCGAACGACGTGAATCGTCTCGACTATGGTTTTATTTTCATGCACTGGATTTGGATCATGCCGCTCCATGCGGTGCTCACGTGCTACCTGATTTGGCTAAACATCGGAATTCCGGCGCTGGTGGGAGTGATTGGATTGCTTCTAAAAACGGTGCCCGTGCAAACGGCCCTGAGTAAGGTGACCTCAGTCCTGCGGATGAGGATTGCAGAGCGAACGGACGAGAGAGTGGGCATCATGAATGAGCTGGTGCAGGGCATTCAGGTTATCAAGATGTACGCTTGGGAGAAACCCTTCCAGGCGGTGGTGTCTGAAGCGCGTCGCCGCGAAATTCAGCAGATCCGCTATGCATCCTACCTGCGTGGCTTCTACCTCAGCACCATGGTGTTTACAGAGCGGTCCACCCTTTATATTACCCTGGCAGCGGCTGCTCTTCTGGGTCAGCCCATTACCGCCGACTTTGTGTTCTCCGCAGCCAGTTACTATAACATCCTGCAACTGGTGGCTGCCATTTGGTACCCTCTTGCTGTGAGTTTCGGAGCAGAAGCCTTGGTCTCTCTGAGCCGCATTCAGGATTTCCTGATGCTAGAGGGACGCGAGGAACGGACACAAGGACTCACTCAAAAGAAAGATCAGGAGGGCGGAGATTCTAGAGCCGTAACCATCAAGGATATTAATGCCAGTTGGGATAATGAGAAGCCCCAGAGGACATTGCAAAACATTAATCTTCAAATCGAGAAGGGTCAACTGTGTGCGGTGATTGGACCCGTGGGTGCCGGCAAGAGCTCAATCCTTCAGCTACTGCTGGGCGAACTTCCAGTCATCGATGGCGGTGTAGTGGTCCAGGGAGACCTTTCCTATGCCTCCCAGGAACCCTGGCTGTTTACGGGATCGGTGCGAAATAACATCCTGTTTGGCGAGGACTACGAAAGAAAGCGCTACCAGGAGGTGACCCGCTGCTGTGCCCTCGCCACGGATTTCCAGCAGCTCCCCAACGGAGATAAAACCATTGTGGGTGAACGGGGAGCCTCCTTATCCGGTGGTCAACGAGCCCGCATCAGCTTGGCTCGAGCGGTTTACAAACCCGCCTCGATCTATTTGATGGACGACCCGCTTAGCGCTGTGGATGCTCACGTGGGCAGACATTTGTTTGATGAGGTGATTGGACCCCGAGGTCGACTGGCCCAGCTAAAAGCTACTCGTATTCTGGTCACCCACCAAGTGCACTTTCTGTCCGAAGCTGATATTATTGTGATCGTGGACCAGGGAAGGATCTTGAGACAGGGCACCTACCAGGAGCTGATCAACAGTGATTTGGATTTTGCAAAGTTGCTCGAGCGACCCAAGGAGGAGCAGGAGGAGCCGGAAAATAGTCGCCATCAATCATCATTGGAGAGCGACGACGAGGACATACCCTTTATCGATGGCGAAAAAGACGGGTACCAGCAGTTGAGGAAACAGAGTAGTTCGATTCATGGCAGCAAGTCGGTAAGTCTAGAATCCTTTGGATCTTTAAATAAACCCTTGGTAACGTTTACCGTATTCAGTTGGACAGCGCGCAGCTGGATGATGAAGTGGATGAGGATGCCCTGGCCGAGGCACAAGCCTCTGGTGGCGTATCCCCCGCGTTTGGTACGAGTATTTCCATGCGGGCAGCACCCTCGTGAGCTTCAGTTTCATGGTGTTTGTGATGCTTATGTCACAAGTGGTATGTAGCAGCTCGGATTATTTTTCCAATTTTTGGACGCAGCAGGAGCACCAGCGGTCGCTGGGAAATCCCACCAGTTTTACCACCTTTGAGTGCATGTACATTTACGGAGGTCTTATCATCGCCGTGGTTATCATGACCACGTTCCGAGGGTTCCTGTTCTTCAAGGTCTGCATGCACGCCTCTAAGGTGCTGCACGATCGAATGTTCGCCTGCATTCTGCATGCCACCATGAGATTCTTTGACACCACTCCCTCGGGAAGGATTCTCAATCGCTTCTCCAAGGACATGGGCGCCATTGATGAGTTGCTTCCGCGGGCGATGATGGACTCTATACAAATCGCCCTAGTCATGTTTGGCATTCTGATCCTTATTAGTATAGTAAATCCTGTTTTAATGGCTGCCATGTTGGTGGTGGCTATTGTGGATGTGCTTATCCTAAAGCTGTACCTGCGACCCTCGCAAGATCTTAAGCGTTTGGAGGGCATTTGCCGCAGTCCAGTTTTCTCCCATCTGAGTGCTTCCCTCACTGGTCTGGCCATCATTCGATCCCGCCAGATGCAGGATGTGGTAGTCAAAGAGTTTGATTTGCTGCAGGATGTACACAGTAGCGTGTGGCAGCTGACCATGGCTGTGAATACGGCTTTGGGCTTGTGGCTGGACTGTGTGAGTTGTGTCTTCCTCACGGCAGTCACCTTCAGCTTCATCGTTTCCAATGAATGTAAGTTAGTTGAGGATATAAGAAAATTCATTATTAATGAATGGATTGTTTTAATTATGCCCTTTTTAGCGACGTACAGCGGAAATGTAGGTTTGGCCATATCTCAGGCCATGATTCTGACCGGAATGGTGCAGTACGGTGTGCGGCAGGTAGCGGAGTCCTTGCAACAGATGACCAGCGTTGAGCGTGTCCTGCAATACACCGAACTGGAGCAGGAACCAGCGTTGAGCGAGAAGATCCCTCCCCAGCAGTGGCCAACCCGTGGTCAGGTGGAGTTCCGCAATATGAACTGTCGCTACGATCCGAATGGATCGCCTGTACTAAAAAATCTGAATCTTACCATCGAGGCGGGCTGGAAGGTGGGCATTGTTGGACGTACAGGCGCTGGCAAGTCCTCGCTGATTGGGGCTCTCTTCCGGTTGGCAAACATCGAGGGAGAGATACTTATCGACGGCATTGAAACCGGCACGATTTCGTTGGAGATCCTGCGAACCCGAATCTCGATTATACCCCAGGACCCGGTTCTATTTTCGGCCACCATCCGTTACAACCTGGATCCCTTTGAGCGGTACACGGACGCTGAGCTGTGGAGCGCATTGGAGGATGTGGAGCTACGTGGTGCTATTCCCGGTCTGGATTACATGGTCACGGAGAGGGGAAGCAATTTCAGTGTGGGTCAGCGGCAGTTGCTCTGCTTGGCGAGAGCGATTCTCCGGAACAACAAAGTCTTGGTTTTGGATGAGGCCACGGCCAATGTGGATCCACAGTGAGTTCTTTGGGTTGCTTAAAATCATTGTTGAAGTTTCCACATCTAAGTTTCCTGATACCATCACACATCTAACTTGAACTCATTTTATCTTATAGAACCGATGCCCTGATCCAGAGCACTATTCGCATTAAGTTCAAGCAATGCACAGTTGTCACTGTGGCCCACCGATTGCACACTGTCATGGATTCGGATCGGATTATAGTGATGGATGCTGGCGTGGCTGTGGAATTCGATGTACCTTATCTGCTGCTGAAGAAGTCACAAGGACACCTGCGACAAATGGTCGAGGCCACGGGCGGAGAGGCGGAAGCCCTGAAGAAGACAGCCAGTGATAGTCACAAAAGGAGGCAGAGAGAGCGGGATCAGCGAGATCGTGAGGAGGAGGATGAAATACAGGAGTGAGCAGCGGTGACCTAAAACATCCACCGGGAATCGCATTTACCCAAAGCTGGTGCCTATAATGGCTCAAGGTTGCAATTTTTGGCTCCCTAATGTAATAGAGCGAGACCAAAACGAAAGCCGTACCAAAATAGTTTTCCCTTAAACATACATTTTATGTTATCCATTTTTCATGTACTTATTGTAGTTAAGTATGTAAACGAAAAGTCTAAATGACCTGCCTTATACGTATTGTACTTAGATATAATCTCCGCGAGGGAATTTGTGTAAAATATTAAAAAGACCGCCAACTTAAAACATGACAAAGAAGATACTAACGTTCTGGTAACAGATTAGAAGTGAACACTGCCATCCTTGAAGGATCAGTTGTATGTTCTTTACCTAACCACTTATTAGTTAGTTCGTCAAATATATTCTGTATATATATGTGTATATTCTGTACATTATTGCAAGTAAGCAAATCCTACTACTGAACTATTGTACTTGAAACTCTAGATAGAATAAATATTTGCCGAGTTTATTAAAATATAAAAATGTCTAATACAATTAAATTATACAATTTAAAATCTAACAGATATAGTGAGCAAAGTGGGTGCGATTGTTTAGTCATGTTTTGGATTCATAATTGCAGTTATTAAAATATAAATAATTGTCATAAGAGTCATATTAAAACCCAAAGAAATTAATTGAACATGCCATTACTTTCGAGGTGATCTTCGATGGGATGATTTTACGCCTGATATTTGACCTGAGAACTGGCGAGTCTGATTTGTACTCTGTTTACTTTGTTGTTCATAGGGAACGGGGGGAGTGCCATCCGGATAGTGCACCAGTGAAATGTGACTCTCACCGGAGAAAAGCTGGGAGCCGATGCTGTGAACCGATCCGGACTTGTCTGGAATGGAAAGGAATGATCCCACAGGAGTGGAGGTCTTTTGCCTGTCGTTGGTTGCTCCGGTCGCATGGCTGAGTCCCACGCCAACTGTTTGGGTATTGCTGCTGGGCGAGAATGAATGGAGGACAGACTTGAGGAAATGTCCCCTCAGGGATTCATCTGAACTCTCTGAAGTTTCGCCGGCATTCACTCGATGTTTCAGAAGCTCCCGGGTCAGAAATTCTCTTAGGTTCAAGGTTCTCCCAATCTGACTTGCATCCTGCAATCTAGAGTCGTCCTTGGACCTGTGGCTGTGATTCTCACCGCCCCGCAACCTGGATCGCCGGGGATGCCTTTCCGGCGATGAAGTAGTGGTACTGCTGCACAATTCATCTGCCTGCTGTTGCCGCTGATGCATTGTGGCATGCCAGCATGGACCTCTCTGCTCCGCATCGCTGGAAAAGTTGCTGCCCGACAGAGGATCAATTCCACTCTCGTTGGGTTGATCGTTGGTTTGCGGGGCCACGCTTTCCCGCCTCGTACTGCTGGCCACCTCCTGCTGACCCATCAATGTAGTGTCTGTCGCATTACGCCGACGAAACGAGCTCTGCAATATATTTCTCTGACGCAGTTCTTCTTCTACGTTAAGCGAATCTGATGAATCCTGCTCGATACTGGCACTGTCTATCAGTTCCCTCTGATCGGCTGGTTGCTTGGCCAGCAGTTTCTCCAAATACTCTCTGCGCCTGGGGAAATCCTGCATATTATCATTGACCACCCGCAGCTGACGCATCAACTCTGCCGGTGACACAGTGGCCTGCTCGTGATCCTGACCTATCTCCAGGTGGATTCGGGTGCTGGTCATGTTATGAAGATAGGCATTTATGCTAGGAAACTCACGGTAGTCGGATCCTCCAGTTCGCTGATTAATAACGTGGACCAGTTCGTTGAATTCACTCTGCAGTCGCTGACTCTGATCCGCATCCATCCGCGCCAGATCCAACTGCAATTCCCTGGCATACTGATCGAAGCTGGGAAACGGCTTGGGCGCCGGAGTGGCGGCCACAATGTGCGACTGTCCCGGCGTTTCCACTTCCGTGATGGTGGACAGCTCGTGGGCCAAGTCCTCGGCATTTAGCTGGGGACTGTAGCGTCGGATGGTGGCCGGAGGAGCCTTCATTCGGCCACGCGCTGTGTTGCTCTGCGTCGAGGAGCCAAGTGAAATAGGTTCCACATCCACATTCACTTGCCCCTGGGCCGTAATTGGACGCGAGTCAGCGATGCCACTATCCCTGCTAGCTGCTGTGGGTTTATTCTTCTGCAATGGCAACGCTTCCGAGGTCGATGGTGTTTGGGAATCGCTGCGATCAGACAAAGTCCTGCATCTGGTTTGCTGCTGTCCTGTTGGGAGGTCAAAATACTCGGTGGATTGGCGCTCGCCATCGCTGTTCGATGTAAGTGTGACCTCCACCAGTCGCTGCTTTTCCTCGCGCACCTTGGTGATGAGATCCGTGAGCTCGGCAATGCGCTTAGTGCAATTTTCCGTGACCTGAGCGTAGCGCTCCATATGACGGGCAGGTGAGTCCTCGCTGGTAGATTGTGACTTCGTTTTTTCAGCCACAAAGCGTGATGTGCTTTTGCCACTGGGCACATCGGTTGGTAAGCTTAAGGATATTCCGCCAGGACTCTCTTTTGTGCCTTTACGCTGTTGCGCGGAGTTCCGCTGATGACCGCTGCTTTGCTGCTGTCTTTCCCTATTTTCAAATTCAAGAATTCTGTCCTTTTCACCTTGAGTTGGGCCCTTTTCCCTTTCCCGCTGACCCTGAACATTTTTTCTTTCTCCCCGTGCCGACATCTTTTCCGTCCTCTGCTCCCATCCTTTATTATTCGACTGACAATCTTCAAAATTCTTGGCCAATCGCTTGTTCCATATCTGATCCAATGCCTGCAGACTTTTCTCTTTGTCCTGCTGGTCTTTCTGCAATTGCTGTTGACAGCGTATGGATTCTTCCAAATCGTTGATAAAGGTGCGATTATCGGCGATAAAGGTATGTACCTGTTCCATGCGCTGTTCATTTACCACAGTTTCGTCATCCTGGTCCCGTTGAGTTCCTTCCGTTTCAGCATCGACGCAAGGGGATATGTTTCTCGATGAGTTGATGATCGAAGTTGAGGGTGTGGCCACATACGAAGAACTCACGCCCATTTCATCTACGTTTTGGCGGGTCATGCCTAGCAAGCGATTAATGTACTGGGCAACGAGGGGATGAAGTGGCGCAGGAGCAGGAGCCGCCGGAGGAGATGGCATGGAATTCGTTCCCGGATTGAAACTCCTGTAGCTCACTGGAGGCAGACTGCGATAGGCGGTGGAGTTGGAATCTATCGAATTCTGACGCTGGTCTTCTGGCAAGGGTCGCTTCCCGTTTGCCTTTTCTGGCTGCTTTTGTGGCTCTTCTCTGGGCGTGCTTTCCGTTGTGCCCGGGGACACTTCTTTCTCACTTTCGATGGTTCCCGCTTTTGTTTTGGCTTTGGATTTACCCCTCGGCACATATTGCTTCACAGTTCCGTCGCTTTTTACTTTGATGATGATCTCCAATGGCCCGTCTTCCTTTGCGGAAGATTTGGCCTGATCTCCTTCACTGGATTTTTTACTCTTCGTCTCTTTGTAAAACTTCCTCAAACGCTGCTCTAAAATAGCTTCCTTCTGCTGCAGATCTGATTCTCGTTCGTTAAGCGTCTTCGTTCGTTCCGACAATATGTCCGCCCGCTCCTGTCGTATCGTATTGATCATTTCCTGGGCATTGTCACCCTTCGATCCCACACTCTCACCCGCCTTCAGCTCCTCCAACAGTTGGCCTCGGATTTTTTCGATGCGGTCTAGCAAATTGCGCAACCTTATGGATTTCAGGGAATTGGACTGCTCGGCCTTCAGGTCCGACCTCAGCTGCTTGCTCTGGTCATCCACATAGTGGAGGAGGATGGAGCAGCAACTCTCGGTGCTGCCCAGATTATCTCGACCCATTTGAACAGGTGGTTCGCCTACATTTACAGCCGTTGGAACATTGGATTTGCTTCTCGTCGTGCTTGAAGGTTGGGTCCGTACCTCTGGGCAAGTGATTATCGCCGGACGAAGCAGCATCTGTTCCATGGCCTCGTTCATTTTTTGCTCTCGTCTGGCAGCCACATCCGCGAACCGATGGCTCGGTATGATATTAGCCTGATGGGTGTATTAATTAATTTTATTTAATTAAAATATTTCCGTATTTGTTTCACTTACATCGCTGGGCAATAGTTGTGGTTGCTGTTGGGTTAAGGCATCAAGCTTCTCGGTCAACTCAGCACAATCCCGACGCACTTGCTCACGTTCCAAAGCCTTCTGTCCCCGATCGTTGCTAATTTTCCTATTTAAATTTAGATAAATTGAAATTAAATATTTATTTTAAAATGAAATTCCCGGGAAATGTAAGCTCTCACCTAAGTTTGTCCAGTTCATGTTCCCGCAGTTCCCTCAGCTGGTTCTCGATACGGGCATGATCCATGGCGGTTAGTTGGGTGGCATCCTTTTCATTGCATTGCACAGATTCCGATGGTGCATCATAAGTTCGATGGTATTTATTGCCATGATCGTAGAACTGAACGCGTCCGGATTGAGTTGTCTTTGGATCCTGTCGCGACGACATGACAAAAGTGGAGGTGGAAACGGTGGAGTGGGTGGCAGTGCTTGGCGGAGCAGTAACAGCGGGCACATGAACAGCTGGCTGAACAGGCATCATTTGCTGGGGGGCATACATCATATGCGGCTGTGGATACTGGTTTTGCATGGGAAACGGCATCGAATATGGCATCGCATATGGCTGCATCGGTTGTTGCGTATAGGGATGCATATAGGGCTGAGCCTGCGGCGGAGGAAAGCAGTGTTGCATCGGAGGATTCGACATGGATGGCATGTTCTGCTCTGGAATGGGTTGAAGATTTCGAGGAGGTTCCTGTTCTGATGGCTCCTGTATGGTAGTAATTATTGGCAGCGTAGCTGGAGCCTTGCCCTTCTGACCACGTCGAATTCCCGCATCTATAACTTTGGCGGGAGCTGGATTGGATTTCAAACCTGTTCGCTTGGCCGTCTGTTGCTGGCGTGAAGTTGTGACCGATTTCTTGGGTGATCCAGTGGCGGCTTTGTTGTTTGATTTTTTGGCAGCTACAGGGGCAGCTGCCTCAACGCGCTCTGAAGTTTTCTTGGGCGATCGTGGAAGAGATTTAGTGGGACTAGGGGGCGCAGATGGAGATGGGTTTTGATCTGGAGCGTTTCTCTGTCCTGGCTCAGTTCGAATAGTTGTAGTTGTCTCGGTTCTCCTCACCAGATCGCTGATCTGGGTGAATCTTGGCCGGCGCTGGCCTTCATCCTCACTCGGTCTTACCACATGGCTGAATTTGCGGTTGGTTTGGATGAATCTATCGTTGATTTCCAAACCTTCGGGGTTGTTTGTAGTTTCGGAGATCGTGTCATCGATCTCCACGTCTAGGATTATGGGAGGAGTCTTCTGAAGACGGCGATTGCTGACTGGACTCTGGCTCAGCAGGATTGAAGAGTCGTCCTGGGAGGAATCCTCCTCCTCGGTGGTGGCGCAACCACAGCTGGTTTTCCTTTTGCGTTTGCCTTTGCAGCTAGGTTTGTGGCAGCCACTGGCCAGCCGATTCTCTTTGTCCTCCATCATGGGCGTCTGTGTGCCCGCTGTTGCGCGCCCCTCGACATTAAGATTCATTCCGTTTGTGGCTCGCAGCTCCACAGACGCTTTTCCCGATCTTTTCAAGGCCTGCTTGCGGCACCTCTGAATTTTCTCGTCTTTCTCCTGTCGCTGCTGCTCGATACGCAGGTTTTCCTCCCTTGCCGCGCGGTGGGCGGCGCCCACTTGAAAAACGGCCGAGCGGTAGTCCTGGTGCTTTTTGACCAAAACATGCTCACGCCACGCGTTTAACTCCTTTTGTTTGACCTGCTCCAGTTTGTCGATTTGACGCTTTTTTTCGGCCGCCACATCCTCGCGTATCTTGCGTGCCAGGTGGTTGGACTTCTCACGCACCTTGGTGAAAAATTGGGTCATGGTTAGGCCAACAATCACTGCGCAATTGGCTCTGAGCTGAAGGGCTTACCTGCTGCAAACGAGTTATGCGACGCTCGCTCTCGAGATCTTTGCGTACCCGCTCTGGGTCATCTAGTCGACTTATGGGCTTCCTCAAGTTGGCCCCGAATTTTCCGTTCACCGTTATCTGCAGAGCCATTTGCTCTATCAATATCTACAGTATACATATACGGATATAAGGCAGCATTTACGCACTAGGAGTCGAAACGAGTTTGAGCGGAAAATCAAACAACCAACGTCTTTAAAAATTCCTCCATAGCCAAGCGCATGGTGTGACCGCCGATAAATAGTAAGACATACTAAAAATGTACCTTTAAAATATACCACTCAAGGAGCAAGGGCTCAAACCATCAAAAAAAATATATCGCAGGATTTCGGTAAATATTCAAATGCTGAGATATCCTTTTTAAAAAATACCACCTTATTACTGATGCCCGATGTACTTTAAAAATCTATAGCACTTGAATAAGAACAGTTTGAAGCAGTTCATAGGAAGGGCTTACTGAAATGATTGTCCTATAGGAGTTTTCGATATTATTTCTATGACGAATTGACTACATGAGCGGTGAAAAGTTAACAAAATTTATAACGACGTAATATATAGATTCCATTAAAAAAGAAAATAAATACTAAATATAAAAAAATAAATTGTGTCCCTTATATATACCGCAGGATTGCAAGCTGGTACTTATCGAAAATGTATCGATTCACTGTGCAATTAACGGCATCAATTATCGGTCGAAAACAGCTGTCGTTGTTTGGATTACGAGATAGTAAATAGCAATATTGAAATTAAATTTTTGGGCTGTGGAATCGGGGAAATATGGCTTTCCTGCTAAGACAAGTGGCCCGTACGGGAATCCAGAGGTAAGAAAAGACTTTAAATATGAGTAATATTTTCTATAACCATTGTTTTTTTTTAGAAATCTAATCCTGATGCGGCACGCGAGCGCCTCCACATCCGCTAATCCCGAGCTGAGCGTCCAGGTGAGCGAGAGTTGCATGAAGCGCCTCCGCGAGATCTGCGTGGACGGCTCCTTTCTCCGGGTGACGGTCGAGGGAGGCGGATGCTCCGGCTTTCAGTACAAGTTCGATTTGGACAAGCAGCTTAACGAGGATGACCGGCAGTTTGGCGAGGACCAGGCTAAAGTGGTCATCGATAACATCTCGTTGGAGTACTGCAGTGGAGCAACCGTGGATTACCACAGCGAACTCATACGGGCCGGATTCCGGATGGTGGCCAATCCGCTGGCGGAACAGGGCTGCTCCTGCGGCTCCTCCTTTTCGATCAAATTGTAGTTTAACGTTTAAACTGTAGAGAATTATTTAATACACATATTATGTTCAGTTATATACACGTCGAGGGCGGACAATAACAAAACAGGAGGAAGCTGACGTTCCCGGTAAGTTATTTTACAATAATATACAGCAAAGCAGCAGGGCATCGCACTCCACACTCATTTGCAGGCGGCTAGTTGGTCGCTTAAGCTGATGACCTGCTCCGTTAGCACGCTAATCTGCTCCTCGTAGTTAATACGCGTCGTGGTCTGGGGGGAATTTATGGATATTAACTAATCCTACAGAAAAATCAAAGAGTAAACCCACCAACTCCTCTTCGAGCATTTGCAGGGCTCCTCCCAGGCTGGCCAGTTGCTCGTCTTTGTCCTTAAGCTCATGCGTCGCGTTCTCCAGGCAGTTTTGCAGGTGCTGCGCCTCCAGCTCGTAGGATCTCAGCTTGGACTCCGCCTGCACTTTGAGCCGCATCAGATCCTCGAACTTCTTGCTGAACACACTGTAGATGAGCTGCTCTTTGGAGGGCGGCTCGGGGGATCCTGCAGAGAGTCACGGGCCCGCTGGCTTCCCTTGGTTTCCGGCTCTGCCGGTCGCACAGTCACGCCCGCCGCCGCCGTACTGCAGCTGCACGCGCTGAGATCCTTATTAGGGTTCGAGACAAACGCCTGGTGCAGCTTGGCCACCTCGAATTGAGCCCTCCAATGTGCCGCCTCCTTCTCGAGCAGGGCAATGCGATCCTCGGACGTCAGGTGGTTACTATTCTGCTGCTGTTGGAGATTGTGGAGTGGAGTATTATCGCTGCCGGTAGCGCTTAGAGCGTCCTCGCTGCCCAGCTAAAAAAATAAGAATGTGTAATTAACTTAAGGATTTAAAGGTGGAGTTACGATGGTGAAGAATACTCTTGTTTGCCAAACTATTTACTTCATAAAGAAAAGGTTATATAAAAGTTAAACAGACTTGAAATGTGATTTGATAGAATAAATTAAAATGAGTTTAAGGAAAGCTAGGTCTAATAAATGATTAGTTAGCCCTGTGGTCAAGTAGTATTTATAGTTGCGTCTATTAACTGCATAGAGATTCAGATTTTACCATGCTCGCTGCGTCCACTAGCTTGGTTTCCAGCTCGCTGTTCCTGTGTTGCAGCGTGTCTACCTCCTTCCTGAGTCGCTTTTCAAGCTCGTTCTGGTCGCCGATACGCTTCTCCAGTTTTTGCTCCAGAAATGCGATGCGCTCCGTGTGCAGCAGGAGATCTTGCTGCTTGTCGTCAATCTTTGGGTTTGTTCAGCAGTTACATATCTCATCCTTCTTCTTGATGACAACCCCCCTGACTTACCAATGACGTCAGCTGCGCATTCTCCATTATTTTCTTCTGCAGTTCTTCGAAAATGAGCGCTTCCTGGGCGGCATCCGATGAAGTGTCTGCTTCTTGCCGGTTGTTGCCTTGCAATCCCCGCCTGCCACCTGAATCCTTATCCTTCTTCTTGGGCTGCTCATGCACTGAGATTTCCTGTTGGAGCTGGGACACCCGTGACTCCAGCTGCTTGTTGCGGAAGCCCAGCGAGTCGACCTCCTGCTCCGTGCGCCGCAACGAGGTTGCATACTGCTGCAGTTGCTCCCGCAGGCTGGCCTCCTTGGACTGCTCTTCCAGCACCGCCTTCTTCAGCACCGTCGCCTGGGCTCTTAGCTGGTCGGGGTTTATATGGGGATTAATTGGATTAATGGGCGTTAACTGTTGCTGCCGAAATGGGGGGCACTAACCTTTGAGTATTCTGTGGCCAGTTTTTGGTACTTGGCCTCCGGCACGGTGCCCTCCATCGCGACCGGTTTGTCTGCCATCCAGGCAGGCTTTCTGCAGTCGGTGGTTCCGGTGGAAACTTACTTCTTGGTGATTTTAAATTGTTTTAAACAAATTGACCAACAAATAAAGCTGGCATTTCAGTGTGCACAACGCTTTTTTTGCGAGCAATACGGAATGCCTCGAAAGACTGGTCTCAAAATTATTGCATTTCTGCTCAGACAGAATCTGGTCGCACTAAAATTTCATAAAGTTTTATTAAACGGTTATTCAAAAGAGTTTAAGAAATAAAGAATAAAAATCATCTTATACTAAAAAAATGCTATTAAAATTTATAAATATATGTAAGTTTCGATTTTAAATCACTTCTCGGTTAAGAATTTAATTAGAAATATTATCTTCAACCAGATATTTTTTATATTTAAGCTTAATATAAATTTATAAAAACTAAGGATTTCAAAAGAATTTAACAGGCTGCATCTTGTTTACAAGCAATAAAATAAAGCAAGTCATGTAAATACCGATTAAGAAGTACTATGTACTGAAACGGTTGTAAATATTTATTTGCCTAAGACTAAGCTTAAATTTATACCATCAAAGAGAGTCGGAAATAAATAAAGCGGAGTTAAATGTTTTAAGTTCTTTATTAACTAATTAGTAATATAAATTAGGCATTACCTAACAGGTAAGTGAATAAGTACCTAACTTAAAAATATATTATCGAAGGGGACTTTCTCAAACAGTTTATTCGACAGTTCCCGGAATATGAGGCCGAAACTCTTGGCATATCCCACTTTCAGCTCATTGAACACCGTCTCCCAGTTTTCGTTAAGAAATCTGTTCATGCCGTCGGAGAGGGTTTTATCGTTGAAGAGGTTCTCGAAGTTCATGTACACCCTCTTGGGATCGAATGACACACGGTAGTCCTTAAGACGCATGTACTTGACACCATCCCGCTCGAAGGGTTCTCCAATCAGGCGATGCTCGATCTTGGTGTTGATCAGCGTGACGTTAGCTTTTCCATGACCAGTAATGGGCAGCAGTAGGATGCGGCCGGACATCTCATACTCCCCAATCATCTCGATACGGTCCGTTCGGCTATCACAGATAATCAAGTGCTTCTCCAGATCGGTTCTAAAAGGTAATAGAGTTTCATTACAACAATAAATTAAATACAGGATCCTCAAATAAAATTTTAATAATAAATTAAAATATTTTTAATAATCTTAAATATGTTCATTTATATATGAATTCATATATTATGTTAATATGTTGATATATGATGGCTTTGAAAAAATAAATATCAACATATTTAAATATGTATTATGTACTAATTTAAAGGTTTCTTACAGTTTTTTATGAGAAACTTCTATTAACACTAAAATTGTCAAACCTATGAATAAAACATATATTTAAATTAAAAAAATCAAATAACAAGGTTGTTTGGCTTCAAATTAAAGGCTCAAATTAAAATTTAAATAAGAATTCTTTTAGTTTATACACATTTTGTTAAATGAATGCAAAGACTAGGAACCTACATATATTCGATTGACAAAATTATGTATGTTTTTATAATTAGTAAACTACAATTTGGCATAGGTATCATTAATTTACAGCTTTTTGACTCTTGTTGGCTTGGTAAACCTACCTGTACCGCTGGATCTTGCTGGTGGAGATCATGTCGTGCACCTTCACATTCTTCAAGGCCTGGCGCAGATTTATTGGCGCATTGCCGGCATCTATAACGAGTTTTTTCACGGTCAGCGGTTCGAGGGGCGGGATGCCGAATTCCTTATTGCCTGCCAACGGATCCGGGAAGAATAACCATTACCCACTCGATGGCAACAAAATCAGGGTGACTACCTACCAGCTTTCAGCTGCTGTATCGCCACATTGACGGCATCCACCAGGCACTTGTCGAAGTTCGCGTCCCGTTTGCACTTGGGAAAGCCTTCGGCTGCAAAGGCGAGACAGAAATCGGTTAAGTCGCTTGGTCATGACATTGAAATCGCTATATCGCGGATTGCGGAAGTTCCCTGGCCAGAAGCAGCCTGCAATTGGGCCAGCATCAGCATCCGTCCACTTGGCCAGAGTTCGTTGGCCACCAAACTTGTTTGTAAACAAAACAAAAGTGTCCACGACGGAAAAAAGAGATAAATGTATATGAGATGAAGAAGTGAGCTAGCATATTTTAGTGGCTCAATGTCAAGTTGAAGCGCACGCTGAGAGGGTCCATTTATCATGAATACATTGAGAAGACAAAGAGCCATTCATGACCTATGTCAACGGTTTCATTAATCAGCTACACTCGGAAAAAACATGCAGGCCCGCGGAATGTGCAAATTAATTAACACAAATATGTCGGTTACATATGTCCTCCTGGGCGATACTCGTAAATTTGTGTCACAAGCGGAAGTGTAAGTGTGAATGTGGATCAGTGGACTGTCTGGACCGTCAAACTGGACCGGCCAAGAGCAACCTGTTTGCAGACGATGGTTATATTAATTGCATAACACCTGGGTACAGTAGCCATTGGTTGGGGAAACCCCCCCAATGCCGCCAAAAACTGATCTTAATTGATCTTGACCATTTAGCAACACGCCAATGAAAAGCATAAACTTTTGCTTTTATTGCCAGTTTTTTATTACTCTCCTCAATTATTCTCGTTTATAATTGCCATGACTATTAACTTAGAAATAGTCCATTACTTTTTCCAAGAAATTTTATTCATTTAATTTGGCGATGTTTCTCACGATATTGTTTACCTGTCTTTTTTTTCTTTTTTAATATTAATCTTTGAAATTTTGTTTTTATTTTTATACTTGTAAAATGATACAATTTGAATAATGACATTATTCAATTAAATTTAAAAAAAAGAATTGTGACATTCAGAACATTAAGCTGTTGGCCAAAAAAAACTCTACAGTGAATTAATTAACTTTGTCTATAAAAGCTTTAATTATTTTAGGTTTTTCAAAGCGTCATTAAGATGCTAACTTTCCAGGAATCCTCATTTGAAGCGGTTGTTTTTGCTAAGCCGGCGTAACTCTACTAACTTAAGCCTATTTTTACTGTAATATCACACCGATTTGCATGCCTGTCAGAGCCATTAGAGAATTTTACAATGCCCGACCTTCAGGTCTGCAGGCCAAGACCCGAGTTCCAAAACGAAATTAACCAGCCTATAAACAATATCGATCACGTTTTAACCATAAATGTGGTGCCAAACAAATAGGTATAGTCGAAGCATAGCGCTACAGCAAATACGATCGATAATTTTTTTGCACTTTTGACTCGCCGCAATAGTTGTTGATGGATTTGCTGTGTTTTTTTTCTTTTTCTTTATTTTTCTTTATTTTTTTGGTTTAGTACTTACGCAAATCTTGCGCTGCCGATACAGTTAATTCCTGCGCAACCGCAGCGATTAGCAGCAGCAGTAGCAACGAGTATTTTGACATATCTGGTCCGGGTGGAAGTACGAAATCGGATGCAGAAATCGGTTGACCAAGAGTAACTTCAATTGACACTCGGATCGACAAAAGATTCCGCACGCGCGCGATATTTCCGTATCGAAGGAGGTGACAGGTGGTTCTGGCCGGAGACTTATCACTGTGTACACGGGATGCGTGCTCCGATCGTCTTTTTATATCGAGCTTGAGCTGCGGCGCCGGCGCAGCAGTCGGTTTTTGAACGTCCGAGATCGGAAAGCTTCCGAATCGATGGCGTTTCGATCGGATCGCCCGAGCTTTGGCCCATAAAGGCAGCCAGTGTGCGAACCACTTTTGCTTTCCGGCTCGCCGCTTTTGGCCAACCATCAACCAACCACCACTGGCAACCGAGTAACCAATGACCGAGCCACCCAGCAACCCTGTGTTGCCCTTTCGTTTTCATTTTCCTTTTCGATCCGGTTCATTGAACTCTGCCTGTCTGTTTACGATTGTCCATGTAATTGGGGGTCTTATTCCCAGGCTGTAATATAGGGTTTATTGCTTATCCGTTATGCAGGGCAATTAAATTTCATGCTTCGCTATCTTTGAGGAAGTCAAATCGAACCACTTAATTCAGTCACTTGAGCGGGTCTAGAGTATATTCTACAAGTGCCCAGGAACTTGTTTTTATTGGGTCAAGATTGGGCAACATTTGAATGCTGAAATTAACAGTTGAATGCTTGCACAAATGGGAAGTTAATTTTGGTGTATCCGAATCTTATCTAACAGGCAAATTTAATTAATAGTTGGATTTAAGATGGCCCAGCCCACATATGTATAATCGAAAAAGCGTTTAACACTTATTTATATAAGTAACCAAAATCTATAATTCATAATTGTTACAATTAAAATAAAAAGGAAACGGAAGATCATTGTGCTTGATAATTTGGGGTCAACAAACCTTATGTTAAGTTCATCCATTTTTTAAAAAACTTTAATGTTAATTGCACTTAAAGCGATAATTATAAAAATAAAAAAAAATATGCAAAGAAGCTTTAGTTGCCTTATTAATGAGTTTTGGTTTTGCACAGTTACATAGTTAACGCTTTACATCTTTTACAACACTATTCTTTGATTGTAATTCTTCGCTACCACTTCATGGTGCCGAATTCAAGTTTGTTGCCTAAGTCTTTCGTTTGGCCAGCACATTCTTTTGTCCAACTGGGCTTAGAGATGCATGTGTGTGTGGCTGGCTGTGGCTATTAATGTTTGTGAGCGGGTGCTTGGCCAAAAATAAACAGTCCAAGGACCTCGACATGTGTCTATGGAAACTGTTGCAATTGTTGTTCAAATATAAACAAACGATATGCGAGTGCTCAAGTGAGCCGGCTAACGGTATATATGGTATGATGATTGGTGATAAAGTACCAGGCCATAAGTGTGGAAACCGGTTGTCGGCAGTCGTCTCTTAACATTCAGTGGGCACGCATTTTTGGGGACCAACAGTTACCAAAAAAAACAAAATTGTAAATCATAAGAAAAGATAGAAGAAAATTCCAAATATGCAACGATGCTATTGCGGTGGGATGAGATCGGGGAGTGTGCAGCAACAGCATAATATACCCCTGCAAAAAGATCAATATCAACTGCAGCAGCTTCCGCGTGGCGATCTCAGGTCGGTGACCTCATCTTCCAGACAAAGCCTACGCCCCACGCAGTTCATAAAGCGCCCCAGCCTAAAAACCCCGCCCCAATTCGGCCTAGGACACTCCAGCACCGAGCTGGCCAACGACTTCAGTCGCCGCAACTCCACGGCCACCTCGGTGAGTCACTGCTCCAGCTGCAGCTGCAGTTCCTCCCAGCAACGACAGCAGAGCAGGGCCAAGGTTTTGCGATGGGGCTGGGAGCGAACAGGAGGTGTTGACACCTCCAACAACAGTGTTAGTCACTCGAAACACTATGATAAGTACACGGACAATCGACGGCTTTATGAGCAGAGCGCATGCGTCGCCAGTCGCCAGAGGAACCAAGGTCAGGGTCAGGTTCACAGTGGCAACTCATCGCCATCGCCACGCCCAGTTCAGTACTTTAGTAAACAGCAATCCATGGATGAAATGCAGCAACTGCAGGCCTTGCAGCACTTCCGCCTGATGAATGCCCGTGATTGCTTCAGTGATGGTCGGCAGGATGAGCTGCGATTGCAGCAGGCCTACGATAATCTGAATGGCAGCAACACGGACAAGTGGAACAAGGATCGGGCCAATGAGAGCAGGCAGCAGGAAGTCTCAGGGAGCAGCACCTCCACCACGCCCTATGCCCTGCGGCAGAAGCTGTTGCAGTTGAGGCTGCAGGAGGAGGAGAGGAGGGGCAGGGGCACGGGCGCCATGTGTGCCCCTTTGGGAAAGAGTTGTGCCCTACGGTACAATTAAAATAAGATGGATACAAGGTAGTACATAGCCAACAGTCTTGGCAGTAATTTAAGTGCCTAATATAGATAGGAATATTTGTAAGCCTCATAATTAAAAGATAGTAAATACCTGTAGAAACAACGACTAATAAAAGTATTATCCTTTTAAATATTTTTAAAATTATTTAGCTTAATTTTGTAAAACTTAAAGAATTTTCTAATTATTGAATTATCTTTAAAATTAAATTACTGAACAATAATATCTAAAAATATAGGTGTCTTCTTTATTTTAAAGTGCTTTTCAAATGAAAAAAAATAATATATTATTAATAAAATGAAAATGAAGACGGAACATTTTGAATGCATTTGAACTTTCAAAAAATCAAGTAAATCAAAACTAACTTCTAACTTCTAAGGGCTAATTAATATTTTTTATTGAGAAATGTACCGTAAAAAAACTGCATAAATCTGTTCACACACTCAGAAAAACTCAATAATAAGTATACAATGGTAAGAGCTACTAAAACAAATGAGTAAACCCATTATTGGATTATTCAAGTAAAACCACATCTCGAATTTCATTTTTATTGCTAGTATGTATTTCAATTTTCCTTTTAATAAAACAGTGCTATTTTGTTACAAGTGCTTCGTCATTGTGTTCTTTTTGTTTAATTTTTATTTTTTTGTTTCTTTTTTTAAATCTTTTTTTAAATAATTTTTATTTTAATTTTTGCCATTTGCGCTTTGAATGCATTATTTCTTTCCCCCTTTGTCTTTTCTAATTTCCATCTTGAAGTCAATTACATTTGGGTTTTATGTTTTTACGATATTACGTTATAGATTTCTTATGACTTGTGTTGGGGTTTGAAAACAGCCGATGTCGTACTGGATCGCGATATTACAAGTACATATATAGTCGTAAATATACGTTGAATTCATTACAACATTGAACAGAGTACTAGAGTGTGAAATAGACGAGGACTCATATTTTTTGCATTTGTTTTCCATAGGTTACGCGATTGTTAGTAGGTTGCTTGGTTGTCGGGCGGGGGATTATACAAACGAAACCATTTTGGGTAAGTTGCGTCAGGCTGCATCGCTCCGGATCGCTGCCTGCCTGGGCATAATACTTGTAATTGAATGTGGCGGCTATTAGCACTAGAATGTACCGACAGTAGTCGTAGAATGCAAAATACACAAAGTATACAAGTACATGTACATTAACCGTGTCTGGTGTCTGTTTGTGTTTGTTGCGCTGCTGTTTACAAATATTTTATTACTTGTATATTTTTGTTTCGGTTTTATTTCGTGTGTGGATTTTGCATGCATTTAATGGGTCTGGGTCTGCTTTCCATTCTGGTGAGGGGACTTTGAGGGGTATCATTATCTGCCTTGTCGCCGACATCAGCAGAGAGCACATAGTGCCGCTCAAAAGCATTCGCCTTAATTAAGGTAGCTTTTCAATTTTGTGTTTTTGTAGATAAACAAACTTGTTTAAGTTTTCTTGTGTTTCCTTAAAATCTTGGGGTTTCAATGGGGTGTGCGTGTTTGTTTGAGGGCGGTGTGTGTGTGTGTAACGCAAACAGTTAAAAAAATATACACATTATTTGTTTATTTTAATATTTTTGGTGTAAACAATTCAAACTTATGTAGCTTGCAACTAAATTGCTTTCCTCATTTTAAAACTAAGTAAACATGTATCGATGTAAAATTTGTAAGACAATATTACAAAAATAAATCGTGCTTCGAGTACATATGTAATATGTAGTTAACTCAACACACATTTAAAAGCATTCTCGTACAGTGTAATTAACGTAAAAGTTAACATTTTTACCATTTGCTAATATTCTTTTAGACACGCAAAAAAAAAGGGAAGGAACAAAAGAGCGGTTAAAAACCATAGCCAAAGATTGCTAAAAGTGTTGCCGAAGTAGGCCAAAATAAAATGCTGTGCAAAATAGAAATGCAAATTAAAATACAACCGGTGCGTGCACTTTTCGTACCTACTGTACGGGTGATCTAAGCATGTGTGTGTATGTGTGTTGGCTTTGCGCAAGGAAAAACTATAACAAAATTAATACATTAGGAGATAAAATATTCTTGCTTATGCAGTGTCTTACACTACCATTAGTTTGAACTAAAGTGTCTCGATTTGTGTTTTGTTGATTTCATTTCATTTCATTCGTTTCGTTTTCCTTTTTTTTTTTTTTTTTCAAATGAAAAATAGGCTAATTTGTAAAGATTCATATACCCCTTATAACGTTGCTTACGATTCGATTACACGTATTCGATAAAAACCAACTTTCTGCGCTTTCCGTTGAATATGGACACGGATTTTTCCTCTCCATTTTCCTTTTTTTGTGTGGGTGTGTGGCCGTTTGTAGTTGCTGTTGTTGTGCATTGTTCGAGTTGTGCAGCGTTTATTTTTTCTTGTTTTTATTGTTGGCGCCGCGTGGCGGTGTCAAAGGACGTCCTGAGCTGCCAAAGTTGGGATAAACAAATCGTCGCTTGTCGGCGGGTTTCAATATCTGGAAGGAGCACATCAATGTGTCGTCCACGGACATCATGGCACCTGGAAACGTAATCGATAATGATTAATCAATTCAGTGGAAGCAAGTGACATTTATGGGCAGTTCTATTCTCGGTATTGATTATTGATTATTTTAAAATGCGCAATTTCAGAGTGGAAATTCAATCTGTCTGTCAGCTTTCACTTGCCGGCAGGTTATCACGGAAATCAACGATTACAAGGCTGCTTCACCAGCCTTCTTCAAATAAACAAAGTTTATCTCCGGCTAAAGTCCGCGGATGATCATCACTCACCCGCATTGTCGAACTCCCCGCAATAATTGGGCGCCGAAAAGAGAGTCACCAGCTGACGTTTGGCGAAGAATTCATAGCCATCCTCCACCACCTGATGGGCCCGACAGATCAGGTCAAATTCGTGCTTCTGTAAAAATTTACCCACAACCTAGAAGAGCAAAATTGTAAGCATTTTCGGGGATACTATTGTAATTTCAAGGACCCACCTCTGCTCCAAATGTGAAGCTCACACCACGATCATTCTCGCCCCAGCCCATGGTATCCTTATCCGGATCGGACCACAGTAGATCACACAGCAGGCCCTGATCGGGGACGTCTGTGGGGCGCATGATGCGCCGGATCTGCTCCATGGACGACAGATCAGGACTCAGGCCGCCGTGGCAGCAGAAGATCTTTTCATCCACGATGGCGGCCACTGGTAGGCAGTTGAAGCAGTCCGTGAACGTTTTCCACAGCTTGATGGTGTAGCGACGTTTGCATTCGTCATAAAACCTGTCAATTAAGTGCAATTAGTTGAGTAATGTTATAAATTATTGGTATAGAAAGTGGCATTTACTTTATCTATATAGACTTGAACTATAAAGGTTAAAGGTTTGCCCCATTTCTTTTCCATTTTTTTATCAAATAAAATTAACTGTGTTTTAATAATAAGAAATTAAAAGTTATTTGTTTTGCATTTTTGTTTTGAAAAGGCATACAAATTATAAGTGTATCCAATGGTTTGTAAATCAATATGTGGGTTCAAACTTAATGGAAATATAAAGCTAGTTTTAGAATCCATTTTGCTTATGTAAATAACCAATCAAAAAGTAAACATAACACAAACAGTTAAGAGGTTAATCTAAACAATTACCCTTAGGAGTCGTGTTCAATATAAATTTGAATAATTAAATGTGTTTATAAAAAGGTAACAGAGTGATGATATCAGAGAGAAACTGAATAATGGTATTCAACATATAAGATTAAACTCAAAGGTTGTGAAGCCAGTACCACCTAGCTTTAGCTCATTATTGGAGCCCAGGAACCCCGGCTCACCCGTATATGCGGTTGATGCTGGCGCACTCGTGGTTGCCGCGCAGCAAGAAGAAGTTCTCCGCGTACTTGATCTTGTAGGCCAGCAGCAGGCATATCGTCTCCAAAGACTGCTTGCCGCGGTCGACGTAGTCGCCCAGGAACAGGTAGTTCGACTCGGGCGGAAAGCCGCCGTACTCGAACAGGCGCAAGAGGTCGTAGTATTGTCCGTGTATGTCACCGCAGATCTTCAGCGGTGCCTCCAGTTCCAGGAGGATGGGCTGCGACAGAAATATCTCGCGGGACTTGAGGCAAAGGCTGCGGATCTCGCTCTCTGACAGCTGCACATTCTTCCCAGGACGTGCACCGCGCACTGAAAACAGAACGGAAAATTGCGATGAGGTGATAAGAGTGTGGGTGGTGGGACAGGTGGAAAAGGGGTCTCTGAAAGTAGGATCACCTACCCTCCAGCAGACGCGAGATAATGCTGTCAATGTTCATAATATCCGACATCTTTGTGGCCCGGTTGCTCCGCTTCCCGAATTTCGCTTGTCCGCCGATGTGCGCTACTGCTATTTCCCGTAACCTATGTATTTTCGGTATACGTTCGTTATGTATGTTATTTCATCGATGGGCTCGGGCTGCGTGCGCCTGTGTGTGTGTACGCCGTGTCCGTGTGCGGATGGAAACTCTGCTATCGCTCCACTGTCCACCGGATGCCCGGATTCACTGCCTCGGTTGCTGGCCCCTGTACGGTTGGGTGCTTTCAATCGTCCGGAATAGTTTGGTATCGCCAGCTGGCCTTTTATTGCATTTATTGCACGTTATACTCGCGACGTACTAAAAAATTTTCTCCTACGTTGGTTAGTGACGTCGATTGTTTACAATGCGAACCGATATCCTATCGATGAATGTAGATCTATCGGTGGACGCCAGTGTGACCGAAAAAGGCCACGCAAAATCACCTTTTTAAAAAGCTTAATTATTTTTAAAATTCTTTAACTGGTTATTAATATTACGACTGTTCTTTATTAATGTGTCTGTAAAGTGAAAATGAGCAAAAATAACTCACAGGCGACAAAGATGATCCATAAACCAAGTAAGTTTAATATTTTTTATTTTGTTTTTTTATTTAAAGTTCTCATCGCTATCGTTAAAGCTCTTCCCATTGTTCATGGTATTGAACATAACCCGCTTTCTGGGCAGCGGGACTGGCCTGGTGCTCAAAGCCGACTTGGAAGCTCCTCGGACTGTGGCCGCTGGCTTGACCAGGATCTCCTCCAGTCGGGCCTTAAAGTCCCGACTAACTGGCCGTCGAGGACTGGAGCTTCGTGACTGCTGCTCGCTGCTCTCCGACTGCTCTTCGTCCTGGGAGTTAGCTAAATCCTCCTCCGACTTCTCCGAAGTGACCGACCTTTGGATCCTCTTCTTAGGCACCTCCATTGGTTTCAGTGGGCTTGTGTGTTTGAGGAGTACTTCAGCACGATCCGAGAACTTGGCGG